TAATTACGTATGATACTGAGATCCTTCCGTGAAAAGTGAGACATAATTTATTATTTCAGAACTGAAAATTTGTCAGAAAGAATATGAGTAGTTAGTGAATTTAGATGTTCTACATTTTCTGTTTCCGAATCCGAAGTGATTATTCCAACCTATCTTGTCTGCTAATATGATTTTCTGGAAATGTATAGGAGGTTCAATGGCAGCTAGCGAGCAGTGTATATCACTGATGGTGATTTCAATTGGCCATTGACAGTATCTTTGAAATATTTCTTGCTCCTGGAAATTTAACAATTCTAACTCGACAATAACGTAAAATACTGGGTTATTTCCATGAAAAGTGAGACAAAAGGGGAACTTTCAGAATTGAAATTTTCCTCAGGAAAAATATATGGATAGTTAGTGAGTTTGGGATGTGTTGGGCGTCCCAATATCATTTTCTGGAAATCGGGTTGGTTCCATGGCTGCTGACAAGCAGTGTATATCACCAAAGATGGCCCCAGTCGGTCATAGAGTAGATTTTTGGTATATCTTTCGCTCCAGAAAATTTCAGGATCCTAACCCAACGATTATATAAGATACTAATCCGAAGTGATTTTGAACCTATTTCGACTCCTTATCACAGTAGGAAATTGGGGTCATCATCAGGTTGGTCATAGAGTAAGTACATTTTTGGTATATCTCCCGCTCCAGCAAATTTCAGGATCCTTACCCAACGAATACGTAAGATAAAAGATACAGGGGTGTTTCAATTAGAAGTGAGACATACTGTATATGTCCGAAACATATTTATGTTCCTGATATGATGTTTTCGAATTAAAAAGTCGTGGAGATGACTTTTGGTGCTTTCTTCATTGAATATGCAACTTAGAGGACTATAGAAGGTCGACATCCTCGCCTACGACATCAGTTACCCCTCTCTTTCCCTCCTGCCAATGAAATGGCTGTTGTAACTATGAGTCATGATTGATTCATTATACGGCGTTAATTCCATATAGGCTATGTGCGTGGTAACCATTTCACTAGCAAAATGCCGCGATATCACTGCTCAACATTGAACAATGTTGCCAATAATTTCTTTTTGCATTGTCAGAGTTCGAAAAATTCGCTGGAAACTTGGAACAGGCGCGAATGATTGTATGTATGTACAGGGTGCGCCTCTTAAAATGGAACCCCCCCTTATAACTTCCGTTTTCAGAGATGTGAAAAAATGTTGAACCAAAAAGTTGTTTGAAACGACTCAAACTTTTATTTCGTGAAGTTGCTTCATATACAGGGTCATTTTTTCAATAGAACATCCTATATGTTTTCTGACATGTCGATAGAGCCTTTTTTTCTGATTTCAAAAATATATATGAGTTGCATATTTGGATAAAAAATGATTGAGTTATTGATTATCAAAGTTTACCAAAATAACGAATCTTTCATTGAAACTGTCTATTCATATTTTTTTGTATTGAGATTGCATGATTTCAATTTCAGAATAAACAATACTATGGCATTTCCATGGAGCTTGAACAATATATAAACGTTATTTCAAAGCCCACTATATATTCAACTTACATTAGATGATATGAAATGAAGGTTATTCATAATGCGGTATTATGGTAAATTTTGATCATCAATAACTCAACTATTTTTCATCCAAATATGCAACTCATATATATTTTTGAAATCAGAAAAAAAGGCTCTATCGACATGTCGTGAATTATATAGGGTGTTCAATTAAAAAAATCAAAGTTATTGATGCCCTTTCTGGAAAAACGAATGACCCTGTACCCGTTAACACAACTTTTTCATATTCACATTTTTTCATATCTCAGAAAACGAAAGAGTTTAGGGGGATTCCATTTCAAGAGGCAAACCCTGTAAAATCCCCACCACCACCACCGTCACTACCAAAGAGTTCATTTCAGAGTTTTTGGCTTCATGAAATTTCAATAGTCTTATTTTCTATCAGGAATTATATTCAAGAGATGATTTAATTTTTTTATGAGAAGCATTCATAACAAGCTAGGTAATATAATATGTATGTGTATTCTCTTTGTAATATTTTATGTATTGGAATTACTTCATCACAAACTGATCCTGGATATATTTAGAAATCCCTGAAGCAAATATACCCATTATCCAAGTATGCCCACGAGTTGATAAACGGGACTTTCATAGATATTACTGTTCCGAGTTTTCGAATCTGCAGGTATCTTGGAACAGCTATATATTTTTTAGATATCATCCTTACAACTGAACAGCCGAAGATGCATATTTGATATTTGTATAATTATAGTATATCCACTCATACATATATTTTATGACAGGGAAAGATTCCCTACCACTATCAATAACTTTATCACGTATGTTCTGAAAAGTGTTCCAAGTATCCCCATATTGTACGGTACATATTATATAAAACTGTATACCCAACCACCATCAAGCAATAGCAATCCGATAACAGTCATTTGAGTCAATTTTTTCATCTAGGTACGTTTGATTCTCTTCCACCCTCATCTGACATGTCGATCAGCTGTTTAGCTTCGCTGTTGTTGCCCTCCTTCCGAAATGCCAACAAAGGTGAAGGTGGACTGGTTCTCATTAACATAACTCATTGAAATTTCATGAATCCCTTTATTTACATTATTTTCGACACATTTTAAAACTTACTACGTGTTAAATCTGTATAACCAACCACCAATCAATAAGCCATAGCAATCCGAGAACAGTATCATCATCAAGTCAAAATTTTAACATTTTCATGTACGTTTGACACTCTTGTACCTCTGCAACCCGGACCTAGTTCATTCCAAAACATTCATTGCTTGTACAAGGAAGAAACAGGAATCTGACAAACTACTAGAACTCAGACATCTCAGAGTTATAGTATAGGTTTGCTCACTGGCCACTGCAAACTCAAACACCACTTGCACGGTAGGAGATACGAAGTCGCTTAAATGGGGAAAAAGTTGCGCATTCATATCAAGAGCCTTCGAAAATTTTGAAAATTATTTTTAGTTTTTGAGTTATATCGAAAAAAGTGAATTTTTGGAATTTCTATTTCATTTTTTTTCTCCGTTATTATCAGAGATACAGAAAAACTGAAAATACTTTTTCATTGCAACTTTTGATGAGGTTTAACGTGGTGATACCGATTTTTTTATGCGACGTTTCGTATTCGTGGAACCATCATCAACTTTTGTTTTTTAAATACGGTCCTGATAATTTTTTCACAGATTCTGAAAGGTTTTTTTATTCTGAATTCAACAATGTACTATACAAGGTGATTCGAATGTGTTTCGACCTATTTCTATCCATCATCAATGTTTTTTCGAACTTCCAAAAGAAAAAAAGCCATCAGTTCCACTTATTTCTTATCATTTAGTGTCAAACTTGATGGATTAGTTATTCAATACTGAAAAGTGAATAAAAAATATTTCACTTCATCATTCGATCAATGCAGCGTTTAAAATTGTTGATGAATTCTTACACGAATTACTTTAACAACTTAACTTTGACAATACCTACAGAAACATTCATAACAAATGTTCAAAATGATATAACCATTATTTTCTGAACAAAGATATCCTCTTCTCACAGTTGTTTCTAAGACATTGCTAAGCATTTCTGGGGTTATTCTATTGAATGCTTCGAAGACACTGTCCCTTAGTTCTTCTTCATCCTCAAAGTTATTTGCGTGTACAAAGTTCGATATATCCCCTAAGAAAAAATCCAGCTGTGTCAAATCAGGCGACCGCGCCGGCCAAGGGATAAAAACGCACGGACTTCTCCAATCCAACTTCCGCAATCGGTAAATCATCCAGAGCTTCCTCAAGATGATTCTCAAGCGAATTTCTATAACGTTCGGAAGTCTGTGTTTCATGGTAAATAGAAGGAACAATAATTCGTGTACCAAATATTGCAACCCACATATTAAAGCCGAAACGGTGTTGGTGTCTCGCTGTAATGTATAAATGTTCATTTTTTCGTGAACAATAATGTGTATTTTTTCTATCGAAGCTACCATGATTAGTGACCATGCTTTCATCAGTCCAGATGATTGTTCGAAAGAAATCTGCAAAATTTTAACATTTCCTGGTATACCATTCACAGAATGTCTTTCGCCTTTCGTCATCGCCTGGTTTTAGCGCTTGACATATTCTGAATTTGTATGGATGGAATTTTTGTTTCCGCAAAATGAAATGGGTTGTTGATTGAAACCAGTTGATGAGGTATTAGTGTGTTGACTAATTTTCCTTCAAAATAAGTGGAACTGATGGCATTTTTCCTTTGGAGTTTCGAAAAAACATTGATGATGGCCAAAAATAGGTCGAAACACAAATGAACCACCTTGTATAATACATGGTTAAATTCAGAATAAAAAACCTTTTAGAATCTGTGAAAAAATTATCAGGACCGTATTTAAAAAACAAAAGTTGATGATGGTTCCACGAATACGAAACGTCGCATGAAAAAATCGGTATCACCACGTTGACCGTCATCAAAAGTTGCTATGAAAAAGTATTCTCAGTTTTGCTGTATCTCTAATAATAACGGAGAAAAAAAATAAAATAGAAATTCCAAAAATTCACTTTTTTCGATATAACTCAAAAACTAAAAATAATTTTCAAAATTTTCGAAGGCTCTTGATATGAGCCTCCGAATGCGCAACTTTTTCCCCATTCAACCGATTTCGTATCTCTTACCGTTTTCGAGATCCCCATGCTGTTCAACCTTATCTTGGACAGACTGTATATAACCATAGGGTGAACCACAATAGGCCATACAGGCCACAGTGGAGGGCCTGACATGGGCCCACTCACGTTTAACCTAACCTAACCTAACCTCTGCAACCCTTTCTCGAACCCCTGCGGCAGCGACCTGAAAATATTCTCGTCAGACATGTCGATCAGCTGTATATATAGCTTCGCTGTTGTTGTCCTCCCTCCGAACTCTCATGGTCGACCGTTGTCGAGGAAACGCCAAAAAAGGTTCTCATTAACATATAACTCATTGAAATTTCGTGAATCCCTTTATTTACATTATTTTCGACACATTTTAAAACTTACTACGTGTATAAATCTGTATAACCAACCACCATTCAAGCCATAGCAATCAGCCGAGAACAGTCATCTTTAAGTCAACATTTTAACATTTTCATGTACGTTTGACTCTTTTGTACCTCTGCAACCCTCCCTCGAACCCCTGCGGCAGCGCCCCGAAAATATCCTCGTCAGACATGTCGATCAGCTGTCTAGCTTCGCTGTTGTTGTCCTCCTTCCGAACTCTCCTCATCGACCGTTGTCGAGGAAACGGCAACATGCTTCGCTCCCTCACAGCCGCTAGATGAGCTCTGACAGCTCCTCCTCCATGGATTGCCACCATATCCTCGAAATTATCCCGTTTCCTCCGGAAGGTCTCTCCCATTGGGAATTTGTAACGACTCGGATGGAAGTCGACGAAGTATTCACCGTTCTGGAAGTTCTTCATCGCTTCCTTTCGCGGTTTGATGGCTCGCCTCGAGAATTTGCTGGCCACCGGCTCTTCATCGTCGTTTGTTTCGATTGCAATGCCGTCTTTGTTGAACTCGCTGAGATCTTCATTGGCATTTTTGGGCAGGGCGTCATCTGCTGCTTCATAATCTTGGTCGAGCAGTGGCTCCGGTTCATCCACTGGACTCCCACATTTGCAATTGCCGTTCTTATTGCAACTACAATGTTGTTTTGTATCGGAGGACATTTGTCGAATATCTCTTTTATTCATTCCGGATTTTGAAGTGTCTTCGTCATCTTCTGCTGAGTAATCTTCATCAACCGCTGATTCGGGTTTGCCTAGAAGTGAACTGAGGCATTTGCAATTTCCAGTTTTATCACATGAACAATGTTCTCTGCTTGATTCTGCTGCTTCTACTGCGGAATTTATGTCCGATTTTTCTTGGCTGTCTGATGGTTGTCGATTATTCAGAGATGGAATGCTGCATTTGCAATCGTTGCTGTTTTTCTCGCAGTTGCAGGTGTCTTTCTCGTAGGTGTCGCCTGTTTTCGTATCATCTACAACATAACTTCGTTATCAGTTATTGGGTGCTCGTTCGAAAACTTTCCTAGATACAGGCCGAATTAAACAAAAAAACGCCCCAAGTCATACCGCCGCTACTATAATTATCCGATTTTGAAGAACAAAAAAGCAAATGAAATGGCTCCTCAGTAAATGTGCGTAAGCTCTGATAATTTTTTTTCAAATTTCAACTATTACGTCAGCGATTATCAACTTTTTTGAGTCATCTTCTTAATTATTCGGTCGCATAAATGGTCAACGTTTTTATTCAGACATGTCTCATGTATACGGGGTGAATCTGTTTGGTTAAAAAATCTTTTTTCACAAAGAATTTAGAGATAACGAAGGTATAGGGGTATTTCAAGGATTGAAGAAGATTCCTACTATAAAACGTATTTTGTTCATATTTTATGAAACAAAAAGCAGCGAAAAAGCCGTTATTAGTTCAGCATAATGAACTAGTCTTATTCCTTTAGGCACTTGACAGTTACAGTTACAGCATTATTTCATCATTTCATTCAAAAACCCTTTTTTTATTTTCAACCTATTAGTTTTCGTTTTGAGTGAACCGAAAAACTTCCGTTATCTAATTTTTTTATGTAAACAATTGATATACATTGATGACAAAAGCTGGTTGTTGAACTCGTGCCGGTTATTAGAGAAAATGTCACCCTGTATATGTATTGGTAGTACCAGCGGTATTGCAATAGGTTATAGACCGTACCGACATGGTATAGGACATCGATATAGGCGTAGTGGCGCATATTCATCGAAATGTAGTATTAAAATCAAACTATACTTGGTTTCAATAACTTTATTTTAGCTGTAGGTAGAGTTCCTAAATGTACTTATTGACACTGCTGTTTTCACGTTTTTTGTATAATCAGAGTACGAACACTATGACAAGCACTGACAATCAGACATAACCACAAATAAATTAATGGAAAAAACGGGAACTGACAGTACACGGACGTAAATGACATACATTTCAAAGGAATGACAAATCGAGAAAATTCGGAGAAAGATGCAAGTTTGTACAGTTTTCAACTGTGAGAACACGGGAAATCAATTCACTCTATTCGAATTTCCATCGGATAACGTAATTCTACAAAAATGGAAACAGAATATGATGCGGCCGGCATGGAATATATGTTTAGGACACAAAATTTGCGAGGTATTCAAATTTCTTGGTAGGATATAGAATATTTTTCAGCGCATTTTTATCAGGTACACTTTAGAACGGAAGATTTGATGTTGAAAAATATGATAGTATTGAGAGAAAGAACCGAACCCACAATTTATAAACTGAGCGAGTATCTAAAAGAACTTTATTCCAGTGTAGAACCAAGAAGAAACGAAAAACTTGCAGGTAATCAAATTCATTTCTCAGGTTATTGCCTGTGATGAAATGATGGAGCAGAGATCACAATAGCCACCATGGAGATCATGGTCGATCATCTGATGATGAAATAGCAGCAACTTCCTAAATTGACTGACTCAAACAGATTCCACATCCCTGTTCAACCAAGAATTCTTTAGATCATCTTCGTATACGAACTCTTATAATTTTGTGAAAACATATAGTCACTTTATGGAACTCTGATGTACCAGATGTAAGATGCCTAAAAACATCTCAACCAGATGTATCTATATCAAAGAGTTGAATATATTGTTCATGTATCGCTTCTTCAAAGTTGAAATCCCAAGTCTGAATGTGCATGTTCATTGTTCATGCGTAGTTGAGAAGTGCTAGATGACTACATAGCTCCTAGTGGATTTTGAACCACTCCTTGAGTACCAAGATAGGAGCAAGATATTATCAGAGGACAAAACAAGATAGCTTATTGAGTGCACCATTTATGTTAGGTATTGAAAATGATCTTCCGATGGCCGGGTTGAAACCAACAATCCCCTAGCAATGTGAACGGCGATCTATATAGTGAGTCGAGCGCTGAAGAACCTACTTCCGTATATCTTGGAGAACCTTTATTATTTACTGTAACTGAAATCAGCTGTTATTGTTGTCATATCATTTGTTCATTTATTAATTACTTATTACCTACCACTCTTGTACAAGTGAAATTGTTCTATACGAAATAAAAGTATGTTGTTGGTTGAAATTTATCAGTTTTTAGTTAGTATATAAGTACAAACCAACTTGATATCGAACTCCATTGAGGTCCTTCAGCCTCATCATTCAATATTTCGAGAAGAAATAATTTCCTAATCAATTTATCGTACCGTTTTACCCACTCGAGGAGACGCAATGCACTCTCGTACTCTTCCCAGGACTTGTGAAGGATGGAAGATGCGAGGATCCCTTATCCAAGCAAAAAACATATTCTTGTCCTTGTCTTGAGGTCGCGTGCACGAAGACCGACCCTGGAGACAAAATATTGAAACACAACCTCATTCTTCTGTGAATTATTGAAACACAACCTCACTTTTTTATTTGGTTACAGAGGATTGAAATAGTTTATCACAATATTTTGGCATACGAATCGTGTTTTTTGCGTTATTCATTAATTCAAGCATGCCTTCGCATTGTGCTGTTGTACAATGCACAAAAAATGCAGCAAGAGACTAGGGAATATGATTTTTCAGATAAATAGTAATCTCACATAGTTAGCATTATGAAATGTTGTCATTCCTTATTAAAATTCCTTCTGCCTTCTGCCACTTCTGCAATACAAGCTAATGCTGCTAATAGATTGAGAATGTCTACAACACACACGATCGTCAGCATGTCAGACCAGTCCTACCGATTGATTGCATGAATCCAATCTTCTTGCATTATTCTAGAAATTTCAGGTATATTTCTATTAGCTGATCCTATTTCAGAAGGAATTCCGATGAGAAATCAGAGAAATAACCAAATTTCAAAAATGAAAACTATGTGAGTGACTATAGTAGGTACTTACTTTTGAATCATAATGTACCATCCGGATTTCTTCATCTTCCGCTGCAGTTTTTGTGCATTTTACAACAGCACAATGTGATGGCATTAGCGAATTGATGAATAGCGGAAAAATACGATTCATATGCCAAAATAATTGTGGAAAACTATTTCGATCACTTGTAAACAAATATGTTTTGCCTCCAGGGTCGGTCAACGTCAAAACAGCAGTGTCATCAAGTACATTCAGGAACTCTAGCTGTAGGTATGCTGACACGATTTTCACCATGAACTAATGATTGTAGAAATGACGAAGTTCCTCTACTGAAGTCATTCCGAAGTCGGAATGCCTTGAACTAGGAATATCCTCCACGTGCTGCCAGTTCGTTTGGAGTTAAAACGAACTGGCAGCGCGTGGCCTTTTGCTGAAGCTTCTCCAGATGAATTTGGAAATACTATACTTCTAGTTGTTTCAGTTTCATTATTGAAGGAACTACAGGACGGAGCAACTAAACAGCTCACACATATTTTTTACCAAACAATTTTATTCATTCTTGATGTAAATTTGTGTTTGCAATCTAGCTAGTTTTTTAGTTTTTTACTACATGATTATACTTCCCTATAGATTCTATCACGATTGCCTATTTTTGATTTTAGACTTCTAGATACTTCCGAATGTATAAATGAAGAAAATAATGACTAAAAATTTGGGAATATAACCCATTCAATCAATCTGTACACAGGGTATACCTACTTAATTATATGTTTGTGCTGAGAATACCGAAAATGGGTAAGGCTGCAACAAAACTTGTTTTGCCCTAATAAATTGAGTTTTATACGTCTAAGATGTCATCCAACACAATGTCCCTTTTGTGTTTCAATAAATCCTAACATGTAGTGGCCGTTGTTGAGTAGATACTTAGAAATAGATAATGCAGTGCTGAAGACGTTGAAAAACAATTATAAAAATGTTTTACCATTCTTTGCTTTGTCAGCTTCTTCATACGATTCCTCACTATCATTTTCAAATTCGGATTCGTCATATTCATGTGATGAGTCACTGTTTGCGCCGGCGTCTCCTGTTATTTCACCATTCTCATTATTCGATGAATCACTACGTTCATTGAGATCTTCTTCATCATCTTCGATAACGACATCCTTTTCAGAATTCCCTTCATCTTCTTGTTTCAAATGATCGATCCCTTCATCTAAAATATTCACATCGGATTGCTTCAATGATCTAGATTTGAATTCAAATTTTTTCAAATGTGGTTCACTAGTTTCGACATCATCAAAATCAGTATTTCTTTTTCTTCGCACATGTACTTCTTCGTATTCATCATTGAAACTCATGGGATCAATATCTTTGTTCTCTGCTTCAATCAGCGTATTGATTGTTTGTCTCTTTTTCCGTCGCGTATCGTCAGAGATTGGTTTCTTATTTTCATCTTTCTTCTCGTCAACTTTTTCTTCCTTTTTTCCTTCTTTTTTCTCTACCTCTTTTTCTTCTTTCTTCTCATCCTTCTTCTCATGCTTCTTTTCATCCTTCTTCTCATTCTTTCGTTCAGCCTCCTTCTCATCATTTTTTTCATCCTTTTGTTCTTTTTTATTCTCATCCTTCTTTCCATTCTCCTTTCCGTCTTTTTTGTCGCCTTTTTTCTCGTCATTATTTTCATTAGTTTTCTCATCTTTTTTGTCGTCTTTTTTTCCTCTTAGTTTATCGATTTCCTTCTTTACCTCTTCTTTCAGTTTATGTATCTTGTCGCGAATTGCTCTTTCTATACGGGTCTCATAAGGACTGTCACCTTCACTTTCAATTTCGTCTGATCTAATATAATCTGATGAAGATATTTCATCTTTTGCCTCGTCAATTTGTCGTTTTTCATCAACGGTGTCTTCATCATTCAGTTCGACTTCATTTCCAGTATCTTCTGAAATTTTCGAGTCATGAAACTTAGCGAACTTCACAGTTGTGTTGGATGGAGCTTCAATGAATATATCTGTAGCATTCAAATCATCTCTCTTTTCTCTACTTTCAGTGTGTTCCTCTTTGAATAAGTTGATCTTATTAGTACCGAATTCTAAATTTTCATCCTCTATGGCACGTTTGACGTCACGATTAGGATAATCATCAATCAGCCCCATATCGTCCAAAATGGTTTTCAGCTCGTCTTCAACTGCAACATCCTCCAGATTCATTTGAGGATTTGCCGGTTCAAGAGATTGTTCCTGATTGTCCTGTTCTCTTTTGAACATCGATCTCTTCATATAGTTCTCCGGGCTCCAAGATTTAGATAATCTGCTGTCGATTCTGAATTTGGCGAATACTGATGGAAACTTTTCGTCTGAAAATCCGACTGTGTCACTCACTTTGCGACTATCGTCGTCATCTGCTATCTCGCTAGGGTAGATGACGTCCATGATTGTTTTTCTTTTGACCGGTATGGGGTTGATGTCTACAAGAGTAGGTTCCCCTTTGACCGGCAGAAATCGGTATGACTCTTCATAAGGCTGAAATTGAATCAATAGTAAATGAGTAATTGATACTACAGGTTGTTTGTATGCTAAAAGCATCTATTGGAATATATATGTTGTTATAGCGCTATTGTATTATATCGTATGTTTATCTCAAGTTTAGGACAAACACCCTGAATAATCGACAGGTAGCCGCAAGGCAAGGCCTCCGAAATGACGGCCCGAATTCGACTTTTTCCCTTTAGTTCGAAGAGAAATATTGAATTATAAGTTTTATTTTTTCTTCGATCCTACGTCCCGGTCGTGGGTTCAAATCCAAACGACTGCTGAAATGTTTCTGATGGCCCAAGAAAGTGTTTGGGATCATATATGTTAAAAGGTCATTCTTTGCTCGCACAAGAGTCTTTCGAATACTTCTGAGGGTTGCTCGTTTTGCATATTTTTTACAACAATATCAAGATAGAGATGGCATCAAAAATAACAGCGAGTGAAGTACAAATGCGAGATTCAGAGTGCTCCACAATTGAAGTGAGACACCTATTATTGGAATCGAGATATACATAAATATACAGGGTATCTGGTAAACCATGCATCATACTCTAGCTCGTGATCATCAAGTTCATAAACTATCAGAAAACCACAACTTGACCTCAGAAAAAAGTTCACGGTTTTCGAGATCTTGGAACTTTTTGGTGGTCATCACTTTATTTGGTGCAAGAAACTCGATTTGGTAATAAAACTGATAACAAATAACTGATTATCAAGCCATATTCCTGATGGTATGATAATTCGATCATCCCTTGTAGAATTAATGAGCTAAACTTTTATCCCTAACAACACAGGGATGTCCTAGGTGCGTCCCTTTTTTGTCCCGCGGGACAAGGAAATGATTGGGACATCCAGGGGATGTCCCGCCAGTAGTTGTCCAGTGGACATCCCACCCGGTACATCCCTAGGTTATCCCATTCGTGTCCCTGGAATATCTGATATCCATTCTTCACATCAGAGAGTCATTCAATATCATCAAAATATTGAGTCGAATTTTTTCGAAAATGTATTTCTTCCGGAAAATGATTGTGATGAAAATAAAGAATATAGTCTCAAAACTTCTCAAGAAATGACCATTTTTCGCAAACAGAGATCGTAAATGCATAATGCCCCTCATTTTCAAACACCCAAGAATGATAATAATTATACCCGAATCCTAACAGTTTTATTTATCCAGGTTTCTGTAGTTGTCCTGTTTATAAATCTGTTCAATACATGAATCTTCAGAAGGCATATTGGCCAATGGAGTAAGGTGCGTGCCTGATAAGCTGAAGGTCCCGGGTTCAATCCCAACTAGACCAACATTTTTTTTTCTTTTGTCGAAGGGATGTCTCTGGGATATCCTTGGGACGTCCTAGGGATATCCCTTCTTTGTACTCGGTACATCCCAGGGACGTACCAGGAGGGACATCCCTTGGATGTCCTTTTTGTCTGAAAGCGGATGTCCCTGGGACGTCCCTAGTATGTACTTTGTCCCAGAAAAGATATCCCTGGGATGTCCTTATTTGAAATTAGGGACGTCCCTGGGAAGTCCCTAGGATGTACTCGTGTTGTTAGGGATCAGGTTAATTTTGATGCCTCATCAAACTTTTTAGTTTGATTTTTCAACGTTTCATTATCACCTTCCGGTAATTTAAGGCACGTGGGCCCTTGTAAAATATAAACCCGATCCTTAACCGTTTTTAAATAAGTTTTATAATAAATTTACATCATTCTACAGAGCCAATCATGGGGCATATTTCCCTGTTTGCCCTGTTATTACCTATACTATTTGTATGTCTGCTTTTTTATATCCATAACTTTGGTCAATTACAGCAGCTCCAGCAAAATGCGCTGTCGGTTCGTTTGATGAATAAAGTATAAAAAGTATAGAAAGTATAAAAAGTATAAAGTAATCACCATATTAAGAGAAGTGTTACTGGAAGATGGTTAAAAACTAACCTATCCAGTAAATATCACGCACTATTTAGATTTTGGAATAGTATGATATGTTAACTGACCCAAATACAAACATCGAAAAATTCAATATTGCTAACTGAAAATACAAATTTCCATGGAATATTTTGACGAATGGTGGTTTGTTCGCATTCCTACTATTGAGAATACGAATATGAGTATAGGGATATACAAAAAATGCAAAATTAATTGATTACTGAAATTAGTTTCAAATTAAAGTTGAATTGGCACATCACCTGGAGTATTCCCACAGGTTCGTTGTTTTTGTACATAACAGCACATTGTGGGCCATCATTATTGCTTCTGGCTAATCTCTTCAAGAATCCTTGATGGCCCGTTCCTGGTTTGTATTTGTGTCTCTGTCTGTAACTTTCGTGAATTGTCCGATCTCCTCTCATTTGATTTGGTTCGTTTTCTGAAGTGAATCTTCCTCTATGGTCAATAATCATGAGTAAAGAAAAAAATTGTCAATATACGACCTACCGTTGTTTCTCTGCTACACCATTTACAAGAAAGTTTGGATGAATGTGGTTCATTAACAAAAATATGAAGACATTGTGTAAAGGAACATATTTCATGATATAATATTTTTGCTTTGTCCGTCACTGCCGTGTAAAAGTGGCATTTTTGTCAAAACCAAGAATTTATGTTAGGTTATTTTGATTGATCAAGACATGTCAGTTATTTGTCAAATTTTTATTTTGGATAATAAAAATTGTCTACATAAAGAAACTCATCGGATGAAGTAATATTATGGAATCCAAAATGAATAGGTAATTCTAGATATTCAGAGAAATGTTGAATTTTCTTTTGAATTTCCGTCATGTAATATACAGGGTGTCCCTTAAAGGTCTGTACAAAATCTAAGAACATATTCCTGTTGTCAAAATATGCCGATTTAAAGCAACTTATCTCAGTCCGAAATTTGCTCAGTTTCTGTTCAGTTTCAGTGTTAAAGTTAAGAAACAAAAATTGCGATGACATGTACCGGGTGTACCACTAAGAAAGGACGCCGGCTGTATCTCGAAAACTATATTTGCTGCACAGGTTTCGGAAAAAAATATTCATGATGAAAGTGGCCAAGAAAGTTCTCTGTAAATTATTTTCAAGTTGGAGGACAGCCGCTAGAGGGCATAATTGCATTGGCCAACTTGAAAAACGGGTTTTTATGAAAATTTGATTATATCAAAACATATCAGAAACACTTTCTCCATGTTCTCGAGTAGATTTCCAATTATTTCGATAAAAAAAATTGCACTAGCTCTTTAAATAAAAGAGGGAGGGAAGGATGAATAGTACTCTGGAAAAACTCTTATTACTACAGTTTGGTGTAACGGAATTGAGCGATCTTGGTCTCATTATGAAGGGTTTTTTCAGATCTTTCCAATAAATCACGAATCAAGTCGATTCAAATCCCATGGTGGCCGCTAGATGGCATCGTTTGAAAAATCAGCCATTTTGCATTTTTTTTTCGAGAATTTCAAATGGAACAATATATTTTTTTTGCTATGATATGAAAGTAAAGTAAACAAGAAGGAAAATGGTGAAAACCGCGAGTTGATACCTCTTGAAGAAACAGAGAAATACTCGGAATAATATTAAAATTCAAACTCTTAGCATGTCAAATGCCTCCTCATTCGTTATCGGCATTTTGACAAATGAGCAATCCATAGTGAAAACTTTCAATGGGACTTCAATTATATTTTGAAGTTTCTTCCATTCAAAGCCAACTTGCCATTTCTCATTCCTGAGCCTATACTCACTACTTACATTTCATCAATTAGCTATGTCATTACTAAGAGCCTCCTTCATCATTGTGAGATATATCAGCAGTTTTGTGAAACCAAAATAAATGAATTATTCAAATCATAATTTCATAGATGCAGGATATTTTCTGATGACGATTATTGAAGTTAGATTCCTGTGGTGAATATTTTCATAATATTATTTCGAGTATTTCACCGGCTCCTCAAGAGGCACCAATTCGCGGTTTCCATCATTTTTCTTCTCGATTGCTCTACTTTCATATTAGAGTAGAATGAATATATGGTTCCATTCAAAATTTTCGAAAAATATGGAAAATTGTCTGATTTTTCAAACGATGCCATCTAGCGGCCACCACATCAACTCGAGAACATGGAAAAAGTGTTTTTGATATCTCTTGATATATCAAATTTTCATAAAATCCCGTTTACTGAACTGGCCAATGCAATTATGCCCTCTAGGGGCTGTCCTGGAAACTTGAAAATAATTTCCAGAGATTTCTCTTGGCCACTTTTATCATTCACATTTTTTTCCGAAACCTGTGCGGCAAATAGTTTCCGAGATACAGCCGGCGTCCTTTCTCAGTGGTACACCCGGTACATTGTGTCCAGTTTTCGATGCTTTCGCGTCATATCTCAGTTATCTCTCGAGATATAGAATAACCTTGCGGTTTCCGCGGTTCTGTGCCACTTTTTTGTGAAACTCAAGATGGCCTAATCAGATTTCGCATAACTGTTTCCGTTTATGAGATACAGGGCGATTTTGAAAATTTATACTTTTTAGACCCCCTCTGTGTCTACGAAGTTTCTAAGCGAAAATGTCAAATTGAAATCTCATCCCATAGAGAATTTTACGCAGAATCCAGTGGCGCACTCAATATTTTCTGTCGGGGTATGGCTCCAGAGATACGACTCAAACTTATGATTTTTTGTATGGAACACCCTGTATTTTATAAACTCATTTAATTCCTAATTTTTTTCTCTTCAAAATGATATACAATGTATGGATATGAAATTTTCAAAATGCTCCAAAATCACTAAAACATCGAATTTTATTAGTGGGCTATGGATGTTTTATATAAAGAAGTTCCTATTGAAGGAATATTTCTTCTGATTTTCCGATGAAGAGGAAAAAAACAATACCAATTCTGAGGAAGGTGAATAAAATATTATGATTTCATATCGAAGGAAATCCACAAGTTATCCTCTCAAAGTTGACACAACACTGTATTTCTAAAATTCTCTAACAAATATCCAGTGGCGTGCTATTTATTTCTAGGAAAGAGATATACAGTGCTCGCCGACAGCGTCTTAAACAGCGACTCTCGTCCGAGTTACCCATTTGAAAAGCATGCCACCCATACATTTTTTATTTATGGAATGATTTTCACGATTTTGTTTTGAAATGTAGAGGAAGGAAAGGTGCATTTTGCACTAAGCGTTGTCCACTTTTTAAAAAACCAAGGCCTACTAGATCAAATTCAGAGGCTGAAAAATCCAGAATTCATATTAGCGATTTTTTTATAAAAATACGCGCACGTCACTGGAATCGGCGTCCTCTGAAATATAACTGTACCAAGTTTCATGAAAAAATATTCAACATCAACGATTTTACCTACGGCCACTATGGAAAGTAGCCTCAGAAAAATAGTGAATTCAGAGTAACTGCAAATTTTGGAACGTTCAATAGCTCCAGTAGGTAGAAAATCGTGATTTGGAAAAAAAAACAAGAAACACAATTGTATGTTGAACCTTGAACTCACCGTTTCCGTATAAATAATTATGACGTTCGCGAAAATGCTTTCCAGATGTGCCTGTTTTTCCGAAACCATTCACAGGAATCATATTAAAATTCACATATGGGGGTTGGAAATCATGAAGAACAATATTGTAAGGTAAGTTTTCGTTTAAAAAAATCCTGATTTAATTTAATGATTATGAAATCCCCTTTTCATTTGAAAAAAATCGCACGACACTGTCCAAAAGAATGTCGTCTCTGAAAAACTGATCATATTGATAGTTATATTCATCATTAGATAGAACTTCATTTAATCGAACATCATTTGATCGAAAATCAATTGATCGAAAAACCGAATGATCGAAAATCAATTGATTGAAAAATCAAATAATCGAAAATCAATTGATCAAAATATCAATTGATCGAACTACATTTTGATCCAATATAATCATTTGCATATAATATTCAAACTAAACTGTTCAATACATGGAACGTATAACATCGCATTTTTTCGATCAAATTTGAATCATCATAACTTTCGATTTCCTCAACTGATTTTCAATTAATTTCCAGTTTCTGAAAGCTCGTTTCATTGACTATCGAACCTATGGATATGACTATTTCATGTTTTCCGGATGATATTCTACAGGATGATAATCAAAGCGGTGCATTTTTCCAAAAATTTCAAACGCCTCCCGTTTGAAAGAAACATTTTTCTATTTTTTTTTTTGTGAAAAACATATTGCTGCGTTACTGCAATACAAATGTTTCATTAAGATAATGCATAATTTGATGCTCTAATTTCTATTGGCTTTTTGTTCCTGAAAATCTTGTTCGAACGGTGGTCAAAAATCTTGAAATGATGCATGATCAACCTATTTTTATATACAGGGTGGTCCTCAAACAACAATTTATGACATCAAGTAATAGAAAAAAATCTTGTTCTAACGAGCAAGAACATATTTTCAGAGCAGGAAACCGATTGAGAAGTTTTCTGGCGATCAAAGCGTGTAGGAGAGGTTGTCATCACCATGTCATGTTGCTACAGAAATTATTGCAAGATCAAACCACTGAAATTGTTAGAAAAACCAGATTTTCAGAGCGCCGTTCTCACTTTGTGATAGATTTTCAGAAGATAATTTCAAGGCAAATGAGACTGAAAAAATAAATAAAAAAAGTTGCTGCCATGCAACTGACATAATTCATCACATGCAGTAGATTAACGAGTAACAGGATGTGATTTCATTTGCGGTGAACGTCTTCACAAAGGACTTGTATTCAATATTTGTCGAAATTCAGAAGAATGGCAGACGTGAATCACATGGATATGTAATGTCCTGACTCAGAAAAAACATGAGTTTTTCATATTGAATTCCATCACAGTCACAATGTTCCAGTTCCATGACTTTTCATCAAATACACCAATTCAAATCACATCACTCTCACCTTTAATTGAATTCAACATTGAAGTGAACATGAAAAGTATGGAAATTCACGAGATTGCAAGATCAGTAATAGATTCTGTAGCAACTTGACATGGTGATGACAACCTTTCCTACACGCTTTGATCGGCAGAAAACTCCTCAATCGGTTTCATGCTTCGAAATTTTCTTGCTCGTCAAAACAAGAATTTTTTTATTATTTGATGTCATAATTGTTGTTTGAGGACCACCCTGTATATAGGAATAGGTTGATCATGCATCATTTCAAGATATTTGAGCACCGCTCGAACCAGATTGACAGGAACACAAAACCAATAGAAATTAGAGCATCAAATTATGCATCATCTTAATAAAACATGTGTTGAGCAGTTTACTTACCGATTCGTCTCAAACCCTTTGTATAGATTCCAGGAATTCATTGATATGAATAATTTTATTGTGAGATCAGTGAGAAGTATAACCTCAAGTATAATTATTATAGTTGAGACTTCGCACCCCTTCGTGGTCACTTTGGAGACCTGCAGAACATCTCTTTCCAAAGACTCGTTTATCCAACGAACATCGAGGCTCCGGAACACATTGCCAAGGGAGGTGTTCCCCAAGGTATATAACCTCCAGAAATTTGAGAAGAACACCAATTCCTACCTTATTTCCCTTGGTTCTCAGTTTCTCACGATGTTCTCTGAACATTACAGGATATCCCTTCTCGTGAGAACCGGAACATAAAAAAAACATAATATGTTAAGATTTATGTCACTTTTGGTTACAGAGAAAAGATTTATCGTTCATATATACAAGGTTGCGGTTTTTGAAAAATGTCGTTAATAAATAGTCAATGTGGAAAGAACAATTTTATATGAAATGGATATTTTCATGTGAGAATATACCAGCGCTATGAGATGACATATTGCAAACAGCGTATCTCTACAGTTGGTAAGGTATTCCCTGTAATTACACGCGGAAGGAAGGTTCATTCAGGCCGAGTCAGGTATAGGTTGTTCAGAAACAGTAGTTTTTTTGTTCTCTCAAGTAATTTTACGAAAAAGATACCTCCTAGGACGACGCTTCATTTAAGCCGAGTTAGGTTAATGAGATTAGGAAAAGTAGTCTCCTTTTTTATGCTGATGCAGAAAAGATATATTTCCTCCTCAACCTTCCGGAAAACAGTGTACCAGCTGAACGCTGCTTGACTGCAATACGTGAAATGACTAGATATTTATATGTTATATACAGTATGATGCAAATGTATGGAATAAATTCATTATTTCAGAAATGGGCGACATTTGAAGAAATTCCAAAAACACGTGAGTTTTAATTTTTGAAACCTCATCTCATGACATTCATATGAGAGATGTTACGTCACCGGTGTTGGAGTAATTACGTAATGGACGGTTTTTTTAAATACAAACAGGGGTCATCTGACACCTCGTTTGAAAGATCTACTGATCGTCTATCCAATAGTCAAAATTTTGCAAAAGAAGATTGAAATTAAAATGGATTATCATTTGGTTAACTGAATCTTGCAGAGATCTTCTACTGAGAATTGAACATCGAAGGGTCGTCTAGTTGAAAAAATACATAGAAAAAAAGTTCTGAACTCTACTTTTTGGATTTTTTTTCGGAAGTCGTCTTGTTTCGAAATGAATTTATTCCATACATTTGCATCATATTGTATATGTTATAAGTTCGTTCAAATGTAATTCGATCAATTCCTATTTCGATTGAACGATATTTGGATCAATTGATTTTCAATAGTTTTTCGATCATATCTCCGGCAACCGCTGAATAATTGGAAAACGCAGTGAACATTGGTGAAGTGCAGACATTTCTTGAAATAACTTTTGAATCAATGAGTTGGATAATGGATATAGGTTGTATGGAAATCTGGTCAGTTGACCTTCATTTTCACCAATGAATTCGAAATATAAGCATATATATCTCCATATTATGTACATACGTCAATGAGAAGCACATAAATAACATGTTATAACACGCATAATGCATAATAATCCCTCGTTGATAAAATTATTTATATTTCAAAGGTTATCCTAATCTATTCTTCAACAGTTAATTCATTGGGGTAGAAACATTCTTCAAAAACGTATAGAGATTATTAAACGATTTATTGAGAGTTATACAAAAACAACAATTCTTACATCTCTACACCTTACAAATAAGACTCCTTATTTGACGGTGTTGCGATTCAATCTATTTCATTGAATATTAGTATTCGATTCCCCAAAATATCAACTTTACTTTGGTAAAGATGAACTGAGGATATACAAGAGTCAAACTATATTCAGAAATAACAAGAACATCCAAGATAAGCACAACATAGGGATCTCGGATCGTGATGAAATGAAAACGAAATTAATAATGTAGGTACCAATCGAAATAATGAACACTTCGTAGAACATAAAAGCGCAGAAGAATGAATTTACTGGGCTTTCCGATATCTTTAATATTACTGTAAAGAAATAGGAAATTTCGTTTTCTCTCAAAATATTTTGAAAAACAAAGTTTATGTATAGGTAGCATATTATTCAGCCGTTATAGGCAACTATATATAATCCATCTTTTTCGAGGCCCATATGTTGCGCATGCTTGTCATGAATAGACAGTACACACTACCAGAACAGAAATAAAAATAAAACAATAAGAGAATATAATGTTTTATTGGGTTTTATACTTATTACAAGCATTGGGAAGCTCATAAAGTTAAATTAGAACGTCTTGAGGAATACAAATAAGATATAAAACCCATACCGTAAGCATTCTAAAATATTATTGCAAAAATACTCATAATGTCGCATCTATAAAAAAATAGTGTATTTGTTAATGAGTGTGGATAAATAAATGGAATAACATAATTGTCAGCATGTCATAATATCACAAATCATTATAACAGTCTATGAAATCTTACAAGAACGTTTAGTCCCAGGCACGAATACCTAAACCTATTTTGTTATCAAGGGCATATAAAATTTATGAGATTTAGTGTCCCTGGTATGCTTGAAGGGACCCTTTGGTGCATCCACCAAACCAGCAGGACAAGGGCCTACGTTCCTAGGAGCATACTCCTTCTTGTAGGAAGTCACCACCTGTACGTTGCTCTCTCCCAGAGTAATATTGGAAACATTAGACCTCCTGTGCACCCTTTCTACGTGTTGCACGTTCTGTTGCTTAGTGAATCCTCCATACGACTTAGCCTCAGATTCTCCATAGAAGTGTCCGCCAACAGACAAGTTATCTTTCCTCACAATCTTCTGAGGCCGCTCAACCACTTGGTGACTGAACTGTTGGTTCCTTCTGTTGGAGATATTTGACTCCTGGTTCGACCTATGCATTGAACTGAGGCTGTGCCTTTCTGTGTTCACTGTTGTTCTACCTTGATCATGCAAGTTACAGACCGACTTCCTCATATCTAGTGCTGAGGAACTAGTCGCGTGTAACGCTTCTGTAGACGTATGGTGACCTTTGCGATGTAGTATTTGGTTCTTGATTTCTTCATTAGTGATTGCATCTTTCTTGTGATAAGTGGATTGGGAAACGTTCTTATCGACGTTTTGTCTCGAAATGTTCTGACTGGAGGAGTGAATGATATTATTGCTCTGGGATACATTTCTATGTGTGTGCTGTTTGGTTATGTCATGGTGACTCGTGGAATGGATTATGTTGTTTTGCTGAGCCGTATGTTGATTCGACACCTTCCTCTGACTCGATGAATTAATAATATTACTTTGTGAAGTATGATTCTCGGTATTACTTCGAGATGATAGATCTGTGTGACTTGATGAATGCACTACATGGTTTTGCTTCACGTTGGTTACGTTCGTTGAACTGACATTATTTCTTTGCTGATCTATTTGAGACGATCTTCTAACATCGTTACTCGTTTCATTAACAATCACTTTCTCGTGATGTTGTCTAGTACTATCAACGTGGCTCCTTTGTTGTCCTCCAACAGTAGTTATCTTTTTTACAGTCGTAACGACAATCGTACCATCAGGAAGAGTTTTTTTATCAGAAGAAACATCTGTATAGATTTTATCGTCCTTCTTGATGGTTTTGTCATCGATGAATTTCGTCTTTCGATCTACTAGATTTTCTTTTTGTGTAACACTAACGACATGTTTATCAACATTGGAAATTTCCTTATTATCGATAACAGTTTTTCGATCAGTTTTCCTGGTGAAAGTATTGTAATTGCTCTGATTGGTAGTCTGCATATTTGTTGTATCGTTTCCTAGAGTGAAGTGAGATTCCATATGTCTACGATTGTTGACTACTGTCGTCGACCCAGGAGTACCAAGGGTGACAGGAGATTTCTTTGGTGTGTTGACATCGAAAGTTTCATGTGTCGTTGTAACGCAATCCATCTTGCCGCTACCAACTCTGATTTGATCTTCGTATTTCTTAATCTCAGCTCGCTCACCTCTCACCACTGTAAACTGTGACTTTGTCATCGTTGTATCTTCGAACTCCCCGGTTACTTTCAGGTTGTCTTGATGTTTGACAATTGTTGCTCTTTCTCCCGGAGTATACTTGGGTTTGGTAGGTGTTTCAAAATCTCCCTCAGGTCGTAGGCTATCTTGAGGTTTCTTAAGAGTGGGTCTCTCACCTGGTTGGTAACCAGGTTTCTTGGGTGTTTCAAATTCACCCTCAGGTTTCAAATTGTCTGATTGTCTTATAGGAGTTCTTCTTTCGCCTGGACCAAGTTGAGTAGGTGTGGGACGTTCGAAATCACCTTCAGGGCGAAGATTATCTTCTGGCTTCTTAGGAGTAGGTCTTTCGCCAGGTTTATAATCAGTTCTCTCCGGTCGCTCGAACTCACCTTCTGGATGGAGGTTATCTTCTGGTCGCCTTTGTTTAGGTCTTTCAGCAGGTGACCATTCTGGCTGATGCGGTCTCTCGAAATCTCCTTCAGGTTTCAAGTTATCTGGATGTCTGATAGGTGACCTCCTCTCTCCAGGGCCGAGTTTGGTAGGTGAAGGACGTTCAAAACTTCCTTCAGGGTGAAGATTGTCCTCTGGTTTTTTAGGAGTAGGTCTTTCAGCAGGTTTGTACCCAGGTGTTTTGGGCCGTTCAAAGTCACCTTCTGGATGGAGGTTATCCTCTGGTCGCCTTTGTTTAGGCCTTTCAGCAGGTAACCATTCTGTGTGATGAGGTCTCTCGAAATCACCTTCAGGTCTCAAATTATCTGGATGTCTGATAGGTGTCCTCCTCTCTCCAGGGCCAACTTTGGCATGTGAAGGGCGTTCAAAACTTCCTTCAGGGTGAAGATTGTCTTCTGGCTTCTTAGGAGTCGGTCTTTCTCCTGGTTTGTACCCAAGTCTTTCGGGTCGTTCAAATTCTCCTTCTGGATGAAGGTTATCCTCTGGTCGTTTTTGTTTAGGCCGTTCTGCAGGAGTCCATTCTGGCTGGTGAGGTCTATCAAAATCTCCTTCAGGTCTCAAGTTGTCTGGATGTTTGATAGGGGTTCTTCTCTCTCCTGGGCCAAGTTTTGTTGGTGAAGGTCGTTCAAAGTCCCCTTCCGGATGGAGATTATCACCATGTTTGATAGGTCTTCGTCTCTCTGCTGGTCCAAGTTGAGTTGGGGTGGGTCTCTCGAAATCACCTTCGAGTTTCAAATTGTCTTCATGACGCACCACTTGCCTCCTTTCGGTATGCGTAGTGAATTCGTCTCTTTTTCTGTAGTCGCTGAATTCACCTTCGATTCTGAGGTTATCTTCCCGGCGAATTATATCACATCTTTCTCCTTTTACAACATTGTAATCGTCTCTTGTTCTCAAATCTGAAAAGTCTCCTTCTACTCTCAAATTGTCATCATGTCTGATTATTTGGGCTCTGTCGACGACTGTGGTTTTTGTGTAGTCATCTCGTCGCCTCATATTCCATTCTCCTTCCATCCTCAGATTATCCTCATGTTTGATTATATCAACTCGTTCACCACGAACAACGTTGTAATCATCCCTTTTCACCATCGTCATTTTACCTTCAGGTTTGAGATTATCATCGTGTTTGATGGGTCTCCTCAGTTCTGCAGGCCCAACTTCTACTATGTCTGGTCTCTCAAACTCACCTTCTGGGCGTAGATTATCCTCAGGCTTCTTCTGTTTGGGTCTGTCAGCTGGCAACCATTCTGGTTTATGAGGTCTCTCGAATTTGCCTTCTGGTTTCAAATTATCTTCTGGTTTCTTGGGACTAGGTCTCTCTGTGGATTGGTATTTAGGTTTTTCAGGCCGTTCGAAATCACCTTCAGGTCTCAGATTATCTTCAGGCTTTCTTGGGACTGGTCTCTCACCAGGTTTATAACCAGGTTTTTCTGGTCTTTCGAAATCTCCTTCAGTACGCAGATTATCCTCTGGTCGCTTTTGTTTCGGTCTTTCAGCAGGAGACCATTCTGGTTGATGGGGTCTCTCGAAATCTCCCTCTGGTCGCAGATTATCTTGATGTCTGATTGGAGACCTTCTTTCTCCTGGACCAAGTTTGGTTGGTGTGGGACGTTCGAAGTCACCTTCCGGGTGGAGATTGTCTTCTGGCTTTCTAGGAGTAGGTCTCTCAGCTGGTTTATATCTTGGCTTCTCAGGTCTTTCAAACTCGCCTTCTGGATGTAGATTATCCTCTGGTCGTGTTTGTTTGGGCCGTTCTGCAGGTGACCATTCTGGGTGCTGAGGTCTTTCGAAATCTCCTTCGGGTCTCAAATTATCTCGGTGCCTGATAGGAGTTCTTCTTTCTCCAGGACTAAGTTTGGTGGGCGTGGGACGTTCGAAACTCCCTTCAGGGTGAAGATTGTCCAATGGCTTTTTAGGAGTAGGTCTGTCTCCTGGTTTGTACCCAGGTCTCTCGGGACGTTCAAACTCACCTTCGGGGTGAAGATTATCTTCTGGTCGCGTTTGTTTAGGCCTTTCTGCAGGGGACCATTCTGGTTGGTGGGGTCTCTCAAATTCTCCTTCAGGTCTCAAGTTATCGGGATGTCTGATAGGCGTTCTTCTCTCTCCTGGGCCAAGTTTGGTAGGTGTTGGACGTTCGAAGTCCCCTTCTGGATGAAGATTGTCCTCATGTTTGATAGGCTTCCTTCTCTCTGCTGGTCCAAGATGAGTTGGGGAAGGTCTCTCGAAATCTCCTTCTGGGCGCAAATTGTCTTTCGGCTTCGTAGGTGTAGGCCTTTCTGTTGATTTATATCTTGGTATTTCGGGTCGTTCAAAGTCTCCCTCTGGTCTAAGGTTATCTTCTGGTCTGATGGCAGCTGGCCTTTCACCGGGTTTATAGTCTGGTCGATCGGGTCTTTCGAAGTCACCTTCCGGACGAAGATTGTCATCTGGTCGTTTTTGTTTCGGTCTTTCTGCAGGTAACCATTCTTGCTTTTCTGGTTTTTGGAACTCACCTTCTGGTCTCAAGTTGTCTTTGGGTTTCTTCTGTTCAGGTCTCTCAGCTGGAATGAATTTCTCTGGAGTGCGTTTCTCAAAATCTCCTTCAGGTTTGAGATTATCTTTGGGCTTTGTAGGAGAAGGTCTTTCTGTTGATTCATATTTTGGCTTTTGTGGCCTTTCAAAATCTCCTTCCGGTCTCAAGTTATCATCAGGTCTTATGGCAGCTGGCCGTTCTCCATGTTTATAATCTGGTCTATCTGGTCTTTCGAAGTCACCTTCAGGGCGAAGATTATCATCTGGTCGTTTTTGTTTAGGTCTCTCTGCAGGTGACCATTCTTGTTTTTCTGGTTTTTGGAATTCACCCTCTGGTCTTAAGTTGTCTTCAGGCTTCTTCTGTTTAGGTCTCTCAGCTGGAATGAATTTTTCTGGAATCCGTTTTTCAAATTCTCCTTCTGGTTTCAAATTATCTTTAGGCTTAGTAGGAGTAGGTCTTTCGGTTGATTTGTATTTTGGTTTTTCGGGTCTTTCGAAATCGCCCTCTGGTCTCAAATTATCTTCAGGTCTTATGGCATTTGGCCTTTCACCAGGTTTATAATCTGGTCTATCTGGTCTTTCGAAGTCACCCTCAGGGCGAAGATTATCATCTGGCCGTTTTTGTTTAGGTCTCTCTGCAGGTGTCCATTCTTGTTTTTCTGGTTTTTGGAATTCACCCTCTGGTCTTAAGTTGTCTTCAGGCTTCTTCTGTTTAGGTCTCTCAGCTGGAATGAATTTTTCTGGAGTTCGTTTTTCGAATTCTCCCTCTGGTCTCAAATTATCTTTAGGCTTAGTAGGAGAAGGTCTTTCTGTTGATTTGTATTTTGGTTTTTCGGGTCTTTCAAAATCGCCCTCTGGTCTCAAGTTATCTTCAGGTCTTATGGCAGTTGACCTCTCACCAGGTTTATAATCTGGTCTATCTGGTCTTTCGAAGTCACCTTCAGGGTGAAGATTATCATCTGGCCGTTTTTGTTTAGGTCTCTCTGCAGGTGACCATTCTTGTCTTTCTGGTTTTTGGAATTCACCCTCTGGTCTTAAGTTGTCTTCAGGCTTCTTCTGTTTAGGTCTTTCTGCTGGAATGAATTTTTCTGGAGTCCGTTTTTCAAATTCTCCTTCTGGTTTCAAATTATCTTTAGGCTTAGTAGGATTAGGTCTTTCTGTTGATTTGTATTTCGGTTTTTCTGGTCGTTCGAAATCGCCCTCTGGTCTCAAGTTATCTTCTGGTCTAATGGCAGCAGGCCTTTCTCCAGGTTTATAATCTGGTCTATCTGGTCTCTCGAAATCACCTTCAGGGCGAAGATTATCATCTGGTCGTTTCTGTTTTGGTCTCTCTGCAGGTGACCATTCTTGTTTTTCTGGTTTTTGGAATTCACCTTCTGGTCTTAAGTTGTCTTCAGGCTTCTTCTGCTTAGGTCTTTCAGCTGGAATGAATTTCTCTGGAGTACGCTTTTCAAATTCACCCTCTGGTTTCAAATTATCTTTAGGCTTCGTAGGAATAGGTCTTTCTGTTGATTTGTATTTCGGTTTTTCTGGTCGTTCGAAATCGCCTTCTGGTCTCAAGTTATCTTCAGGTCTGCTAGGCATTGGTCTCTCAGTAGTTCTATATCTAGGTTTTTCAGGCCTTTCGAAATCTCCTTCAGGGCGAAGATTGTCTTCAGGTCTTTTCTGTTTTGGTCTTTCAGCAGGTGACCATTCTGGCCTCTCAGGTCTCTCGAAATCACCTTCTGGTCTCAAGTTATCTTCAGGTTTCTTCTGTTGAGGTCTTTCAGCTGGCGTGAATTTTTCGGGGGTACGTTTTTCAAATTCGCCTTCTGGTTTTAAATTATCTTTAGGCTTGGTAGGAGAAGGTCTCTCAGTTGATTTGTATTTTGGTTTTTCTGGACGTTCGAAATCGCCTTCTGGCTTCAGATTGTCTTCTGGTCTTCTTGGAGCGGGCCTATCACCAGGTTTGTACTCAGGTCTTTCGGGTCTATCAAAGTCACCTTCAGGACGAAGGTTGTCTTCTGGTCGTTTTTGCTTGGGTCTATCTGCAGGTGACCAACCAGGTTTTTCAGGTCTTTCGAAATCCCCTTCTGGCCTCAAATTATCTTCTGGTTTATTTGCAGTAGGTCTTTCTGTTGATCTATATTTCGGCTTTTCTGGACGTTCAAAGTCACCTTCTGGTCGAAGATTATCTTCGGGCCTCTTTTGTTTTGGTCTCTCTGCTGGAGACCATTCTGGTTTGTGAGGTCTTTCGAAGTCTCCTTCCGGCCTTAAGTTATCTTCGGGCTTCTTTTGCTTGGGTCTTTCTGCTGGGATGAATTTTTCTGGTGTGCGTTTCTCAAAATCACCTTCTGGTCTCAGATTGTCTTCTGGTTTTTTAGCAATGGGACGTTCAGTAGGTTTGTATTTGGGTTTTTCTGGACGCTCAAATTCACCTTCAGGTCTCAAATTATCGCGATGAATCACAACTGTTTGACGGAAGTCGGTGGTGTCGTAGTTTTTGTATACATCTTGTGAAGTTGTAACGACTTCTGTTGTTTCAGTACCATAAAACTTGTCAACTTCATCTTTGGTCCACGTTTGTCTCCTTCTGTCAACTGTAGGTGTTTTTTCTGTGTACTCCAGGGTGGAAGATGTATCGAAAGTCATATCCCCTGTTACTGTCAGATTATCTTGCCGTTTCTTTGCAATATTTTTCACCACAGTGCTGCTGTGATCTATAAATTCAGATTTTGTTGTGGTGTCATCGGTGAAGTCCCCTTCTAATTTGGTCCAGGTGTTCCTACGAACGGGGCTGGGTCTTGGTCCTGATTCGCCAGTGAAGTCAACTTTACTAGTGGTTATATCTGAAAATACGATTACCTATCATTTATTGCGTATTCTTGAATGATTAATTTAGAACTATAGGTACAGTTAGACACCGAAGGGGGATTCCACTACATTTTCGTTAATTTTCACCAACAAAAAAATATGCAGAAGACGAATTCCTCGAATAGTCCTCTTAATGGCCGTTTTCAGAAATTTCACAGAACAAATCCTCAGTTAAACAACCACTAATCCATTGGAACATCTTGTTTTTCATATTTTTCTCGAAGTCTATGATTTTTCGGGATCACATCAGATACATAGAGCGTGTCTCAATTTAAACTAGTTTAAACGGAACCCCCTCCACTATATCGTAGCTATTAGTCGTGCGATTTATTGAAATAAAGTGAGAAAATTATGAATTTTTTTCAGGAATTCTCTTACTATTGTTTTTCATGGTTTGAACTGCCATATATGAATTTTCATATAATTCCTGTGGAGGGTTTTTAAAAACAGGCACATTTATACAGCATTTTTCTAATACTTGAGATATAAAATTAAGGGGTCCGACTGAAGTGAGACATGCCTGTATATAGGTACCTATTATACTTACAGGTCGGTTCCGGAATTGTTATGCGGTAAATGAAATAGGTAAGAAAATGAAACAAAAAGCATTTCTCGGAGAGGAAACATAATTCTGGAAATCTGCTAGTTTTAAAATTGTTTATTAGAGTTTAAGCGCCGATCCCGAGCGTTACAATGACTTTTGCAGTGTTAGGTACCGGATGTTCAGAAATAGTGGGATAATATATGGAATAGTGAGAGCATTGTCGATCTAAATGAAAACCTAGTAGGCGACCAAGTGCGAGTAGGTATAATAAGCTCCTGCCTACTAACTTCCTAACTAGGTTGTCATCTAGAACGACAATGGTGAGAGCATACATTTTTTAAAATATTCTCAAATCAATTTTTCTTGCGATTTATTGATCATACAGTTGTGTGATACAGCATTATCGAATACATTTCCAAGTTGATTATAGTATATTATAATCACTAATTAACCACACAAACCAAATATTATTCTTCCGAGGATCGGGGATCCCAAAACATGTGAAGAATGAAATGAGTCAAGAATAGAATACAGTATATGAGTATATATCTTTGTATTGAAAAGGAATATTCTCAGATATAATTATGAACACAAAAAATTGATATATACCGGGTGGCTACGGAAGTATTGCCTACGGAATATCACAGTTATTGTATGAAGTAGGTTTGTGAAATTTGGAGCGTCGATATAATGACATAAGAGCTAGAATTTGAGCATATTGACATGTCGATGTTAACTTCCGGTCTGACCGGAAGTAACATCAACTTTCTTATTTTAAATGGAAACCCTAATTTTTTCTTTTAGCTTTATTCAGCATTCAATTCCTTTTCTAATGACATATCACAAGTTGGTATCTAACCAGAAACCAGATTAGGAAAAATTATTATTGAAATTCACCGAGTAGGCCGTGGAAGCAAAATGAAAGCCAAAAAATGATTTTCTATTATATCATTAGAAAGGAATGGTTATGCTGAATTGTACAGGCAAGAAAAAGTTGTATGTTCCTATTTAAGTTATGGACCTACAGAGTATTGTTTTTTTCCCAAATTTTCCAATATTTTTTTTTGCGGCTTTTTATAACGCCGACGAATGAAAATAAAATATCACAGTAGTAGCAACTGTTATCAAGTGACGTATAGTTTCCATAGCCAACTTTTCAATTTTTGGCTTTCATTTTGCTTCCACGGCCTACTCGGTGAATTTCAATAATAATTTTTTTCTGATCTAGTTTCTGGTTAGATACCAACTTGTGATATGTCATTAGAAAGGGAACTGAATGCTGAATAAAGCGAAAAGAAAAAAAATTGGGTTTCCATTAATAATAAGAAAGTTGATGTTACTTCCGGTCAGACCGAAAGTTAACTTCGACATGTCAATGTGCTCAAATTCTAGCTCTAATGTCATTATATCGACGCTCCAAATTTCACAAACCTACTTCATACAATAACTGAGATATTCCGTAGGCAATACTTCCGCAGCCACCCGGTATATATATATATATATATATATATATATACCGGGTGTCCCATTTTAATCTTCATTTGGAAATTTCTCGAAATGTATGCATCTGACAAAAAAAATTGACGAATAAAAGTTGTATGGTTTGGAGGGGGACGTCTGGTTATAAAACAAGTTTCACCCCCTGACCCCCAGGGGAGTAAGAAATGGAGGTAACATTGAAATCTTCAATGGAAACCCCTATTTTTTATTGCAGATTCTGGAAGAGCATTAAAAACTATGAAGCTTTTATTCGGGAACTTCTTTTTTATTTTCACAAGATGGCGCTGCGATCGTAAGAAACAATATTTCACTATTTACACATTTGAACCCCCTGAAGACGAGGAAGAGTGTAGGGTGTGATATTTTCCCAGACCAGTGCTAAACGAACTTACTTACCTTGACACCTCTACATAAAAAAGAGAAAAATAAGCATGTTTCAGCAATTAAGGTATCATTTAGGTCAGACTAAAGCTGGTTTTAAGTGAGATTGACTACTTCATCAAGTGTTCGAAATGACCTCCATTTTCTTGAATACACAAGTTCACTCGTTTTTCAAAATTCCGCACTGTCGCTTCCAACATAGCAGGCGTTAAAGCCATGCACGCTCCTCTAATTCTATCTTTCATATTCTCGCGTGTGGTTGGGGGTTCGCGAAACACAATGTTTTTGATGTAACCCCACAGAAAGAAGTCTGGGGAAGTCAAGTCGGGTGATCTGGTTGGCCAACTACAAACTAAATAGTAGAATATTGTTTTTCAAGATCGCAGCGCCATCTTGTGAAAATAAAAAATAAGTTCCCGAATAAAAGCTTCATAGTTTTTAATGCTCTTCCAGAATCAGCAATAAAAAAGAGGGGTTTCCATTGAAGTTTCCAATGTTACCTCCATTTCCCACTCCCCTGGGGGTCAGGGGGTGAAACTTGTTTTATAACCAGACGTCCCCCTCCAAACCATACAACTTTTATTCGCCAATTTTTTTTGTCAGATGCATACATTTCGAGAAATTTTCAAATAAAGATTAAAATGGGACACCCGTATATATAAAGAAATATATTGAGATTTCGCATTCTCTATGTGATGAAAATATTATTTCTTCCTCGGTTTATTCAACAGAAAACAACTACTTCCCTGGCTATATGCCACGGCGAACATTGAATTACATCTATGGAACACACACGATGAGAATTTGAAAAAAAAATCTTTGTGATCACAAATGAGATGAAAATATAAAACATCGTTATTCATTCAATCAAATTGGATATGTCTCTCACTTCTAGCGATCACCCTGTGAAACGTCTGATGAGAGTCATCAAAAGGCCTGAAAACGTCATCGTTTATTATTTTTTCTTGGTGAGAAATAAATACCAGAATCATAATATTACTGTTGGAAATATGTTAAAAGTTCACATTCAGATCAGATATTAGTAGGTACACGTATTTTCTCTTTAACATGCACAACACATTTATTTTCATGTGTGGACGGTAAAACAATCGGAATATGAGATTTTTAAATTTTTGATAGTCAGATTTTTTCTACTGAAAAAGTATACATTTCCGCCCTCATATTTGAGTGTGTGCACTAATGCGAAAAAGTAATTTGATAAGCTCCTGGGGAGTGTACTGACATTCGATTATTTAAAAATAATATAAATGTTTTTTTATGTTAACTCTTGGGTTTTTTCCGCACGCTAGTAGAAAAAGAAAAAAGTAGTGCAGCTATTAGGTAAACTACTATTTTCCATTATTCTTAATTGGAATGATCAAGTTGGTAGGTGAGTATTCCACGGAAACAATGACAGTTTCATTAATTGAATTGCCTACCTTCCTTTGTATATCCCACTAGAGCCTTCATGACATTCGATAGGTAATCACTTTTTTATATGGTTTACTAGTTGTGCATCAAATTTCAATTTTAGTAAAGAGGTAGCCTATATTTTTCATCGTACGTATAGATACTATCAGAGATAGAATCACTCCTCGAAAAGCGGTGACATAATGTTCAAAATAAAAAAATATATCTATAACATATCAATCGAGAATGGATATCATCGACACCTGATTAGCTGAACATGAGTATAACGTCATATCTATTCCAATTCTTTATCAAGATAGCAGGATAGGAATATACCTGGTGACCACGATGTGTCAATGATTTCTTCTTTTATATGGTGTCATGAAGAACTATGCCTCTCGTACCAAGTAAATAAAGAATTATCAAATGACCATGAAAAGTTTCTTCTCTCCTTCTTTGATAAATACATATAAAGGATTTGTTCCACCACTAGCTATAAAACATACCATTATTTACTCCATTTCGAGGCTTAAAGTGTGTTTTTACTGAAATTGTTTTAAAATTGTTCTTATCCATCATTCGGTTGCCCCCTATATTTTGATTCAATGCGACCCCCTAACGTACTGCAAACTGAAATATGATCAGTAGGCTGGATTCCTATTTCAACCAGCTTTCCAATCGGGGGTCGCAAGCTATAGGGTTTCATTCGAAAAAAACATGTTCGAGTAGATTCCTGCTTTGCCTGAAGGGGTATATTCTCCATATTGCTCGCCAAACTTAGGTAAATACATTTAAACTTTGACGTATCTCGTGAATTTTCAAAAAAATCATTCACTCCTCTAGTAGCGAATTTATTCCAGTTAAAGTCTCCACCCTGTATATTCAGCACATCAATATTTTCTAACGAATATTCCCATGATATAAATGTTTCCTAGTTCTTCTCATCAAAGAGAAATTTAATTTTGAAAATTGAAAAAAGATCGAAAAAAATCAAGTACTCCCAAGGCAATATAAATGGATCAACTTCGCGTGAACGTGCCTTCCAATTTATGTAGAGGGAACGTCAAAATTGGTAGTGTAGAAATTTGGATAAGAAAAGCAGTCTCACCCAAAATTTTATTTTAAACTTTATTTTTTATTGGTGCCATTCGATAGTACCTATACGTCGAACTTCCTCAGGGTTTGAAAGTTTGAACTGTTATTTGAATTTATTTCAATGTCACCCTGATGTATAAAGAAACAAACACATAACTTCTGGAAGAGCAATAGGTGAGTCAGTTTTTTGTAGCACGTCTTCAACAGATTGAAGAATACATATTTCGAAGATTACCTACAGGGAGTCAAAGTTTGAGGTATTTTCAATGTTTCTGTAGTTTTCTCCTATAATTCCGCAAATGGACAATTGCAATTTGGTATACCTATTACACTTGAAGCACTCAATATCTAGGGCTATTAGCTATTACTATTACCTACAGGATGATACACTTTCGAAAGTTTCACCCTATTTAACCCTCTTGAACTTTTCTGCATGCTGCATCTGCTTTCTTTTTGTATACGTTGTGCTCTCTTATATATTTTTCGAAAATAGGGAAGACCACTGAGGGAAGAAATCCGTGCAAACCTCTTTCAATCGACGAATCATGTTACGTTTGATCTACAATCAATATTATGAGTTGAAGTTGAAGGGAATCGAATCTATATCGTTTTGAAATCAGCATATTTCATTCGTTATTTCGAAAAGCCAAATATGATGGTGGAGCAGTGACGTATTAGTCCCGCACTGTAGCTTTCTCTCTCTGATACCTCGTCATTCTGCAGTCGTGTTGCAGTGTGATTGGTGAGTTCAAGGACAATAGGCGTGTTGGGACAAGACGTTGCACCAGTCTCACCAATGAATAGACAAAATTTCAAATGGCGCGGGAATTGTGTGTTTAGAAATGGACATATTCTAATTTATTTTTTTCATCGTCTTAGCATGAATGAAAAAATTCAAAATTATAATTCACTGGTAGTTTTTCAGTATAGAGTTCACTATAATGCCGTTTCAAAAAATCAGTGGTCTCCCCCATTGTATAGATTGACAGTATAGAATTAGTGTATTGTTTAACGAGGACGAAATGATAGTGATTTCCTACGAGAGTGAAGTTTGCAGCATGAGCCATAGGCGAATGCTGCAATCATTCAAGTAGGAAATTAGCATTACGTGCAAGTTATACACTATAATTTTTCTACGGCTGTAACAGATAACAGCGGCATTTTCGATTTCTTCGACTTGTAGCCATCTGTTTTCCTGTCAAGTAATGCTCATCTATTAGACACAGCTGTCATTACTCGCAATTTGACATTCCATGGGCGATGAGTTTTTTTGAAATAATAACACAATGGCGTCATTGTGATATCAGATACGGAAATAATATTGATGACATACAAAGTACCTCATTGGTGTATCTAACACAGTGAAACAAGAGCAATCTTGTGTTATAGCCGTAGAAAAACTTCCATAAGGAGTATTTATGGAACTCATTGGCAAAACTTTAAAAACACAAAAAATATTCGAACTTATCACACTACCTGTATTTCGAAATTGAGGGGCCTATGCATACATGTTCAAATTAGATTTTCATCTTGGAATAGTATCTTCATCGAGCTGTTGAAGTTCTGCTACAAAAAATGACTCACCCTGTATAATCAATACTATTAAAATTACCTAAATCATCAACAAAAAGCTTAATACAAATTCCAAATCAATGAATAATTCACAAATTTATTAATATCATAATACACAGTATAGGTACCTATGACTTGTTTACTCTGCTTCTATGATCTGCTGCACCAAAAAAAAGTTAACACATGAAGCGATTTCAAGATACAATAAATATTCAATAGTGAAGTCGCAGTAACTGAATCACACTGTAGACATTTGAGAATATAATCTCTAAGACCTCGATCAAGATACTACAACAATTGAAAAAGAAACACCTAAATATAATTGCAAAACCAACCCTGGAAATATGGGGAAGTGTTGAAAATCACTGAGCATTGAGATTGATGATGAATTTCCACATGTAATAACCGCATTGTGAAGTATTCATTTCCAAACTAATACATTTGTGTTGGTTGTCAAACTTTCGATTCTAGTCAAAATTGTTCCGACTTGATTGGAACATTCAAGTATGAGTATGAGGAACATTTTGATTGCCTCACCGATGTTGCCTATCTACCTTCGAGAATTCTATAGGACAAACTGCAAAAACTACATACATGGTAAACTTTTGGATATGAACAGTTGCAGGCTTTAAAAGTGACCAGTTTAGGCGTTCAGGGAATTATTTTATTTGAAGGCACCCTCCACCCTGTATCGGTGTATATAATTGTATGTATTTGTTGATGATTAGAAATTGTACATACCAGTGAATTCTCCTTCAATAATGATGTTGTCTTCATGGCGAGTAATCTCAGCTCTGTCACCACGAATTACTCTGTAATCTTCGATAACTGTTCTCGTACCAGTGAATTCTCCTTCAGGTTTCAAATTATCCGTAGGTTTCCTTGCAACTGGCCTTTCACCTGGATGATACTTTGGCTTCTGAGGTCTATCAAATTCCCCTTCCGGTTTTAGATTGTCTTCTGGTCTCCTTTGCTGAGGTCGCTCTGCAGGTTTCCATTCCTCAGGCTCTGGAATTTCGAAATCGCCTTCTGGACGAAGGTTATCCTTGGGCTTTTTCTGCGTTGGTCTTTCCGCTGGGGACCAGCCAGGCTTCTCAGGCCTCTCGAAATCACCTTCTGGCCTCAAGTTGTCGTCTGGTCTTTTCTGTTTAGGTCTTTCCGCTGGGGACCATCCAGGCTTCTCAGGCCTCTCGAAATCACCTTCTGGCCTCAAGTTGTCGTCTGGTCTTTTCTGTTTAGGTCTTTCCGCTGGGGACCATCCAGGCTTCTCAGGCCTCTCGAAATCACCTTCTGGCCTCAAGTTGTCGTCTGGTCTTTTCTGTTTGGGTCTTTCCCCTGGGGACCATCCAGGCTTCTCAGGCCTCTCGAAATCACCTTCTGGCCTCAAGTTATCGTCTGGTCTTTTCTGTTTGGGTCTTTCCGCTGGGGACCATCCAGGCTTCTCAGGCCTCTCGAAATCACCTTCTGGCCTCAAGTTGTCGTCTGGTCTTTTCTGTTTGGGTCTTTCCGCTGGAGACCATCCAGGCTTCTCAGGTCTCTCGAAGTCTCCCTCAGGTCTGAGATTGTCTTCAGGTTTCTTAGCTTCTGGTCTTTCACCTGGACGCCATTTTTCCGGAGTGCGTTGCTCGAAATCGCCCTCAGGCTTCAAGTTATCCTCTGGCTTCTTTTGCTTAGGTCTTTCAGCAGGAGACCATCCTGGTTTCTCTGGTCTCTCGAAGTCTCCTTCAGGCCGGAGGTTATCGTGAGGTTTCTTAGCTTCGGGTCTGTCACCTGGCCGCCATTTTTCCGGAGTGCGTTTCTCGAAATCACCTTCAGGTTTCAAGTTATCCTCAGGCTTCTTCTGTTTTGGTCTTTCGGATGGTGACCACTCTGGTTTCGCTGGTCTTTGGAAATCACCTTCTGGCCTCAAATTGTCCTCGGGTCTTTTTTGCTGGGGCCTCTCAGCAGGAGACCAACCTGTTTTCTCAGGTCGTTCAAAGTCTCCCTCAGGTCTGAGGTTATCCTGTGGTTTCTTTACTGGTGCTCTTTCGCCTGGTTGCCACGGTTCTGGTTCGCGTTTGACGAACTCGCCCTCTGGTTTGAGGTGGTCTTCCGGTTTCTTGACAGGAAATCGCTCGCCTTTCGTAGCGCTGTAGTCATTCCTCGGTTCGCCCAAGAACGGACCTTCCAGGTGCAGGTGGTCATTGTAGTCTTCTGGATTGTGTGGACAAGTGTGGCGTCTAAAACGAAAAGAATCGTTACAATTATACAATACAGAGTGTTATTTAAGTATGTGGCCAAACTTCAAGGGGCGATTAATTGGGTGATTCAAAGACGAAAAGTTCTTATAACCATAGGTCCTAAAATGTTTCGTTTTCAAGATATAGGGAGTTGAAGTTGGAAGTATTGATTGTTGTTTTTTATGATTACCCTGTATAAGCTTTCATGATGGGAAAATATAGTCTGATTGGTGACTAGAAAAATCTCAAAATTTCATAATGATACTCATTGATTTGAGGGCACCTATATTCGAATTTGGGGACAAATAATTCTCTCATTATTTCCTCAGAAACTAAGTGATATACAAAAATGTAATAGAGGACAAGAAAATTGTATTTTCGATTGTTCAGTCTGATAAAAATATCGAACTTGGAAAAAACTATGGCGTTGGTGCCTTATTTACCATACAAATCGAAAAGGTAACCCACTGCGACGCCACTGGGATTATTACTTCGAATGTAATTACACCAAAAGAAGCTTCTTGATACTGTTAACAAAAACATCAAGTTTCATTAAAGTGGGGAAACAGAATTTTGAGTAATTGATAAAAAAACGATTTTATATCGAAACTTTGATACCCTGTATCATGAAAACGAATCATTTCTGGACCTATGTTTACATGAACTTTTCATCTTAGAATAACACAAATAATCACCCCTTGAAGTTTGGCTACTTACTTAAATAACACCCTGTATAGAACTAAACTACTCAACACTAATTTCGTCGCACACCAAAATGTCGCCCCTGTTATAATGTGAATAACTTTTTTCAGTTCAGAACAATTCGAATTTGGTTTACATCGTTCGATAGCCCAGTCCTTCAGCTATAATCTCGTACTTCATTGAAACATAAGGGTATTCACATAAAATTTCTACATGGTGTTTTCCGACACTGTGCAAAATTTCGGAATATTCAAAAGGCTCTCAAATGGTGAAAAATTTTTTTTTCTCGACTTCGACAACAGAGGCATGAAGATGATCTCATTACCTCGAGATGTTTCGCGAATCAACTTCCTATCTCTCTTATTTACAGAGTGATCTCAAAAAATCAACTTTTTTGGTTTTGCAGCCAAAACTTTTTTCTACGTCAACCGATTTTAGAAATCTTAGGCTCATTTTGAAAATAACACTTCAGATGAGGAGATCTGAATATCAGATTTGACTCAAGATGGCTATCAGAGATCTAGAGTTTTCTTGAAAGTGACCCAAATCTGGAACGCCCTCCGAATCTCAGTTGGGAGGAGAATTGAATGAAAATCAACTTGTTCTCGGAAGAACAATTCATTCTGGATGCGTTCATATTTTCCTCGCTCTCAGTAGTCAAGAAAGTGCGTGAGAAAACACAATTGAAACATGTTCTTGCAGAAACATCAGATAATTTCTCCTCTGTAATGCATGGCCCGTAACCAACGTTACAAGAATCATAGTAAGTGACTGATAAGTCAGGTTAGACGTCGTTTTCGAATCATAAACAGATTTCGATAGTTTCGATGCCGCATCTAACACGAATGTGGGTGACAACTTTGTTCTCGTTGATGACAATGCGAGACCGCATAGGGTTGTTGGTACATCATTTATGATGAGCCTTGGCTGGTCGGGTTTGTCAGTCCATTGTGATTCTTGTAACGTTGGTTACGGGCCATGCATTACAGATGAGAAATGGTCTGATGTTTTTGCAAGAACATGTTTCAATTGTGTTTTCTCACGCCCAATTCTTGACTACTGAGAGCGAGGAAAATATGGACGCATCCAGAATGAATTGTTTTTCCGAGAACAAGTTGATTTTCATTCAATTCTCCTCCCAACCGAGATTCGGAGGGCGTTCCAGATTTGGGTCACTTTCAAGAAAACTCTAGATCTCTGATAGCCATCTTGAGTCAATTCTGATATCCACATCTCTTCATCTGAAGATTCATCTTCAAAATGAGCCTAAGATTTCTAAAATCGGTTGACGTAGAAAAAAGTTATGGCTGCAAAACCAAAAAGTTGATTTTTTGAGATCACTCTGTAAATAAGAGAGATAGGAAGTTGATTCGCGAAACATCTCGAGGTAATGAGATCATCTTCATGCCTCTGTTGTCGAAGTTGAGAAAAATTTTTTTTTAACCATTTGAGAGCCTTTTGAATATTCCGAAATTTTGCACAGTGTCGGAAAACACCATGTAGAGATTTTATGTGATTACCCTCATGTTTCAATGAAATACGAGATTATAGCTGAAGGACTGGGCTATCGAACAGTGTGAACCAAATTCAAATTGTTCTAAACTGAAAAAAGTTATTCACATTATAACAGGGGCGACATTTTGGGGTGCGACGAAATTAGTGTTGAGTAGTTTAGTAATTATAGCTGTATTTATTTTCCGGGATACTTCAACGCATTGATAAAACGAACAAGTGAGGTCAGAAGAGTCTTCTGTAACGTGATTGATACAGGGTGTCCCAGAATATGTGGGCAATCTCCTGAATTCAGATAGAATACAAAAAAATCAATTTTTTATGGCCTCCTGTTTCAGGTATACGTATGGTTCCATAAAGAATACTTCTGGAAATTTTTTTCTTTATCAATAATATCCAAAGTCTTTGGTATTATTCAATTATTTTTCAATTTGATGAATACTAAATGAGTCTACGTAAAATGGATCCTTTTAAACATAGAATTCTTTACACCCTTTATGATATGAAGGCACGTTGGCATCTAGCAATCATGTACGCTAATGCTCAGTGGAATGTGCTTACGTCACAGCTTGCTATCACAGACATGTGCAAGTGCTGGTTCATTAGTGTTCGGCGGGTAATCGAACTTAGAACAAGCATACCCCTTGTCCATCTTATATTTCGTGATAGTGCTCGTTTATTGAATTGTGATTATAAGCTAACAATAAGGCATATAAATATGATCGATATGAATAAAAGTACCAGTTTTCAAAAAAAAAATTCGAATGATTAAAGAAAAAGATCTCAAGGGGTGTCTGCTATGGGACTATATACATATATATATACGAAATTACATAGAAATATTTCAACCACAGATTCAGGGAATAAAAAGAGTAAAAAAAGTTCAAATAAACATGAGCCCAGAAATGGCCTCCTGGGGAGTTATAGCCATCTGTAAGAGAGCCCAAGATGATATGGTTTTTTCTGTAAATATTTCCGATACCCTTTGCGACGAATTTTTGTACATGTATAATACTTTTTAATTTTAAGGATTCTCCGAATTTTTTATCGGGGGCTTGGGAAATAGGTGGGCTAAGGGCATTTCTTCCCCCAACTTTTTTGTCTATACAATTTTAGGTAGTTTGACGAGAAAAATATTATGGTAGGTGGTAGGTACCCTATTGAGAGAAAGTACTATTTTTATCACGCAGCAGACTTTTGAAATCGATTTTTATCGAAAATGATGAGTGCTATCAAAACTAAACAGAAGTATAATTTTTGCGTAAAAATAATATTTTCATGTTTCCTGGTCAAACTGCCGAAATATGCATAAAAAAAATTTGGGAGAAGAATTGCCCCAAGCCCCACCCATTTCCCACGCCCCTGATCAAAATTTCGGAAAACTCTCAACATTTCCGAATCGGGCATAAAAATTAATATACATGCACAAAATTTCGTTATCTCATCACAGAGGGGCTCATGTTTATATGAACTTTTTTCACTGTTTTTGTTCCAAGATTCTGTGGTTGAAATCTTTCTATATAATTTCCGGACACCCTGTATATCGGAGAGGAGCGACTTATAAGTATAGGAAATTATTGTGTTATTTTTATATATTCTATCTGAATTCGGTATATAAAAACTCCATAACAACAAGGAAGGATTTTCATCAATATAAATCAAAATTGAATGCAAAAATCTATTTTAAACAAAATACTTCTTTTTCAAAAAAAACAAGGCGACAATGAGAACATCACAAAATTGTTCGTGGAAATTTGGGCTTACAAATTTGAAGTTGACGTGTTCGAGCGATTGTTTTTGCTTGATCTGTACAGATTGCATTTCTTCTTTTCAACCTTTTCATCTCCACTTCATGAACCCAAAAATACTTGCGTAGATAATGTTGAATTCGAGAATAGTTTGTGACAGTTTCATATAAGTACATAATAATTATTGGTGAACTCACCGCTTGATGGTTTTACTGATTTTTTGTAGCGTATTCCTCAATATCAAATTCATGTAACCTTAAACAATTATTGGGGTCTTCATAATAATTGTATTCAAGTAAACATCATCACTGGATGTTTGTTTTGCACCGATAAAATTTGAATTGGTGAGAGTCAGAAACCAACTTCATACTGTCTGATAAATAGCGTTTTTGTTGAACTTGGTGACTGAACGAATCGATTGAAATAATTTCATGTCGACTTTCCTCGAATTTTCATAGGTATACAAGGTGATTCATCATAAGTTTATACTCTACGGATATGAACCTATGAACCGACACAAAGATTTATATATGTATAATATGAATGACTGTAAGAAGGTGACATATTCTTGTTGATATGAATTCTCTATCTTAAGGATAAACTCTTCATCGATATCGCCGTGCTTTCAGAAAACTTTTATTTCTTTCATCAGGGTGCTTTCATTTGTGTGAATTATATCGAAAAATTATAATATTAGTGTCCGCAGTCACGGCGATTGAAAAAATAAACAATTTGTAGCATCAACGAATCAATTTTAACATATTCATTTCTTCATCACAAACAGGGACATTGAGGGAGATTTTCAATTATTTGGTATGTGAAATTTCGATAATGGACACAGGAAGGGTAACCAGATATGATTATACACTGTTGCTTGATTCATTGTGAGTATTATAGGTACAACTTCTGTACTATATACCTTTCCTAATTTTCAGAACATGCACAACATTGCAAATAAGACAAGAATCTCTATTATTCCTCACGTGATGGAAGACTCCGATCATAATTAGGTCATATACCTATTGGCCAAATCAATAT